AGTCTTCTTTCTCAGAAAGAAGGCTCTTGTGCATATTAAGATAGTTATTTTTTTGGTTAGAAAAGGCTCAATCAAATGACACATGTGAGATGTTTATTTGTAAATTGATGCTGTGCTTCTCTCATTTTAGACATTTGAATGTTCATACTATGCACACTGGTGTACTCGCAGTAGCATACAAGGAACATTTGGATGTTGTGGCACCAGTTGGAGATGTTTACATACTATTTGCAACAATTACTTCTCCTTGAAAACAAATATATTTACCAGATTCCGTTGTGCTTTTCGTGACTGGGTTGAATTTGTTTTCATAACTTAGCGCTGCATTCAAATGCTCATCCTTTTATTTGATTAGATATATCTTGTCTCGTTCCTCAAAAATGTGTTTTGAGTCACACACACAAAACAGTACTCCAGACAAAGAGCTGCAGTGCTACCAGCACACATCATATTACACATAGTGTACTGTAAAAAGATCCCTTTCTCTGAGTCCTCGCATTTGACAGATTATGAAATGAACAAGTTCCACAACCTTTGGAATCTGATAATGCTCTGTTAGATGGAAAAACCTGACATTCCTGAAACATAACATGAGATGGATCAAATTAACTATATAATCTTACCAGCATAAGACAACTTTCTTTGAGTTTATGCCGTTTGAAGCTTGAGCTTTTATTAAACTGAACGTTGACCCCAGTAAGAGGTAAAAAAAAAAACATACTATAACTTTCAGCAGATGTAATTTATATCAGTTTCAAAGTACAACGACATAATGTTTATTAGCCAGTGCATTGTGGCTATTTTGTGATTTGTAATGCTACAATAATCTGTCCATGCCACTCAATTATCAAAGGGTGTTTATCTCAATCCCATACTTTCTGAACTAATGAGACTTTACCAGCCTAAAACCCTAATTATTTCTAACTCTAGCCACCCCCTACAGCACATGCAATTCTAGCATGGTTAAAAGATGGTGCGATGGGGAGAATAGGGGTGATGTAAGGGTGTAGCAAAGTCTGCACGCTTTTGGCTTGTGGTCAACAGGTGGGCCCATGCACCACCGCCCCCCTCCACAATCTCACAGCCCACCAGCCAAAGAGAAAGACTTTAGCCAGGATCTGTCTGGCAGACAGAGAGGCGGATTTCAGCACCAAATCCAGTGGATCAATAAAAATGTCTGCTAATTAGGCTTTCCAGAAAAGGGGGGAGGGTGGGGGTGAGAGTGAGGCAGATGAAGAAACAGAACACAAACGAAGAAAGAAAGAAAAAACATCAGAGCAGCCAGTAGAGTCCAGACAGATAAGGAAAATCCCCAGACAGGCAAGCCCACTGTGGAAATCAGGTGAAGTACAATATGTGACACATTTGGCCTTGCTTTTTAATCCAGTGCAGTCTTGCCAGGCACCAGCCTTGGCCTCCCTCCATCACTCTCTTCCTCAGTCAGAGCCAACCTCCCAGGCTACAGCTATCAGTTTCTCTGACCCCAATCCTTCCTCCTCCTCCTCCTCCTCCTCCCACCTTTTCTTTGCCCTCCTCCTTTTCACCGCCCCTCCTCCTTCCTCTGGACATCACCACTTTGACCTAAATCTCCTCATTTAATCTTCTTCTTCTTCTCGTCTTTTGGATAACAATCAACCCCCTAATTGTCTTAATCTCACTGGTCTTTTATTGTCCCCGGGACATCATGCGTACGGCAGAACAAAAACATTAACCACAGATCAATACTTGGCATCAGGCCACAACTACCAACATGGTCTTTATCGATTATCATTAATTTAAGGCCAGGCTGCACTGCTTATGTGTTTAATTAAAATAAAGTTTGAGAAGGCATACAACAATAATCTTTGTTGTTTGCCAAAGAAACATTTGAGTATCTCTGAAATAGTCACAACCCAGTTCATAAGTCAAATCATAGTTTCATCACTCAGTGATTTTTTTTTTTCCATAGAGAACAAAATTGAATGAAGAGATGAATGGCAATACCACTTGAGGTGAAGGATAATACATTTACCAGTTTGGAAATGGAAGAAAAGGGTCAACATATTCTGCAACTGTGGATTAAATCCAACTTGGGGCAGCAGCACAAGCCAGTTGTAAACACCTTCTTCAAATCTCCCCCAAGCCTCTTGTTATGCTCTCTAAATAAAACAAATCTACATTGTCAATTTCTGAAATGAGAAGCTTATGGAAAAGCACTTTCAGTTATATTACAATACAGCTTTGGGACCTGAGCCAAAGAGTTTAGCTTCAGAGCAGCAGTAAGCACAGGATCAAGCTAAGGTTAGGAAGTGATTTGTGTATGATTTTGAAATGACAACCGGGATGATAATCAAAATACTCAGAACAATAACGGATTATCTGTTTCAGTAGCTGCACTCTGCACCATCTGTTGAGGAGTGGGCAGGAGTGAATAATGTTGTTCACTTGTGTGTGTATGCGTTTATGTGTGTGTTTACAGAGGGGCACTTTTTTTTTACTTCTTCAATTTGCAATTTGCAGATGTATGTATTTTTGGCTCTGTAACCACAGAATGTGACTTCTTAAAATGAAATCACCTTTTCTTCTTCCCCTTCTGCATTTTCTTCTCGCTCCTTGGCAAAAACCTTTTTAAAAAAATCATTGTGTCTTTAAACTTTAGCATCTAAGGTACACACCGTCACCCTCCTTTTTTCCCTCTCACAAAAATCAGTAGCTCCGTTCCCTTCCCCTCTGTCCCTCTCTCTCAGTGGGTGAGTCTAGAGCTGCATCACAGTCAGATGACACTGTCTGACTCTGCTCTACCGTAATCTGACATGGCTAATCTAATCTCTCTGTCTTCGCAGATTGGCAAACTACCTGGGTCTTTCCAGCCAATTAGAGCCCATCTGCACAGCACGCCATGCAGGCCAGGCCAAAGCCAGCCACCATAGGGGCCTAGTAGCCTCTGAAGGGCTCAACGATGGCTCAGGCTGTCTGGGGCCCCAAATATCTGCTTCCATAACAGCCCATCTGCCTCTGGCTTGGCCTGGTCCACTTTCATCCCCAGTAACTCCAAAGATTAGGGATCCTCCGCAGACTGTACTGCCAATTAAAGCACTTGTTGCCATACAGTTGTTAGGTAATCACCAAAGCCATGATTCATCACTGGGTTAAGTGGGCTACTTTGGAACCAAATGTTTTCTATTCATTGTGATTGCTCCTGCAGTTCAGAGAAGGTTGCTGGTCTGCTAAGTAAGATAAGAAGATATTTTATAACAAGGCAATTTTTCTGCATTTCCAGTGTTAGATGTAGTTGAGAAAAAAGACAATATAGCCGTATGTTTTCTTTGAACAACCTCAATTTGAGCAAGTTAATTTATCATAACAGGAATCAGGTGTAGCTATTATCAACGCTGCAACTATTCTAAATACATTTTTGAACTGTCAGCATTTTAAACTTTTAGATAATGACCCATCTCGTGCATCTTAGCTTTCTTTTTTGTAAATAAGAAGCAATGGGATCTAATCATTGTTTTTTACTCATAAAATAAATTATATTTTTTTTGTCAGTGCATAAACTGAAGAAATTGGGCTCTTATTTTATCTGGTGTCTGTAACATAATAATATTCATATACAGCTATTGAGACAGAGAGGCACTGTAAATACACTGAAACAAGGTCAGAGGCCTTCTAACAGCTTATTTTCTCATCAAGCCAGTCTCACTTAATCACCTTAGCTAAATTAGTTTGAAATTAGCCCTCTTTCTAACTCCTGTCCTCCATCTTTCCTCCCCCTTTTCTCCACAGTCGTTTTCACAGCTTTGTGGATTAGACAGATTACATGTCTGAAACTCTGTTTTTGTTCTTTCTCTCTCTCTCGGTCCCCCATCCCTCCATCTTGAGGGGTGTTAATCCAGGATACACACTTTATTCATAACAGAACAAATAGATCCAGTTAAAGTGAAGGACTGACATGGGTTTGTTTACCATTCTGCGAGGCAAAGTTAACACTAATTACCTCTTGGCCTACTGAAACAGCATGTTCCCTGTTTCTCAGGGAATAAGTGAAGCAGATATATGCTAATACAGAACCTTTCAATGAGTTTGGTAATTATTTTCAGTGTTGCAACATTTAGGTGTGTAAAATTTGCTTCTTTGGCTTTGTACAGAAAATTGTGGATACTGAACAAAGGAACCATCATTTTGTGTAAAACTTCCAATGACACAATACAGGTGTTACTAAAAAACATATGACCTTAATTTTGTTGTATATATAGATATTAAAAAATGCCTTTTGCAACAGCTATGGAGCAGAAATCATTAGCTGATTAATCAATCAATGGAAAATTATCAATAGTCTTTAAATACAATATGTCAAGAAAAAATGCAAAACATCTTATTATATGTGAGGATTTACTGCTTTTCTTTGTTTTTTACGATTGCAAATTAAATCTCTTTGGGGAAATTTAAGACATCACCTTAGTATCTGGACAACTGTGACATTTTGCAGACTAAGCGATTAATTGACAATTGACAAACAATCAACCAAAAATTGGTTAGATGCAGCCAGCTTGCAGGGTTTTGAAAGGCATGTATTGCTACAGCTGTCTTCTGATGACTGGGGTCTAATACCTCATCATATTTTGACCCGAACAGACTTTGAACAACACTGGTCTGAATGCCTCTGACATGCCAACACGTTTCTGTTTACTTTGCTTTGTTTCTTTCTTTTTACTGTCAAGTTCAAGGCTAACATTAGATTTAGGTGTTTACTGAGGCGTTTTGCTGTGTCTTTACTGCATTTTACTAGTAGATAGAATTTTTGCTATTTAGGTAGAGGTCACAAATCATATGGAATTTGCAACTCCAGACTAACACCACTTACAATTTTATCGGGGTATCTTATAAATTGCAGATACTATCTAAATTAAATTAACAATCGCGCGCGAACTCACGTACTACGGCTGTGGTGCTGCCTTCACTTGCCTTGAATGAGACATCATTTCCTGTATAAAGACTAAGCACCGGCGGTCTGTGCAAACGTGTGTCAGTGTGGAAAAAATACTTTCACTTTCACTTCAAGTCTCCATTGATTTCGTCGCTGCATTCAGAACAATAAAAAAATAGGAGAGAAAAAAAAGAAACAACATCGCTACAGAAAGGCCTCTCAGGGAAACAGAGGAAGACTTTAGGAAACCCATGGCCATGGCGTTTAAGTATCCGGCTGCGAGAAGAGATGAGAGCAAGGTCAGTGTCAAACGGTAAAGAAAGTGAACTTATGCAGGGTGAGTTCTCTCTCTGTCATTCTCTGGTGCACGCACACAATCAGGGGGAAAAGCAAGACCAGGAAGAGTCATACGGGTGGGGGGGTTAGCAATACAAATGGCGAATGGACAAAGAAAGAAAACCAAAACTTTAAATATCAATTTTAAAACTCATTTAAGGGGAAATTTTGCTGCAATAGCTTTGCGAAGAAGTAACGTTAGCTCTTTGAAAATGTCGCAAACAGGAAACCATGTCCCACGGGAACAATAGGCTACGTCCTCATGCTCTTTTAGCTGAAACTGTCGTTTGTCTCGCAAGCATTATTTCCTTATGACCACTGTTCCTCTGATAATGCAGCTCTTAGCTTGGTCGTGTTTACAGGCATAGGCGATGTTATTTTTTTTGCCAGTATATAACAATGAGTCACTGTTCCTCCCGCGGCACAGCCCCAGTCGCCTAAATATTTATTTATTTATTTATTCATTCATTCATTCATTTAACTGACTAGTTATGTTTTCTCCAAAAGTGTATCTGGCAACATGATGGTCGAAAGGCTGTTTCAAAGCCTTCACCACACTGCCAGGAATACAATTCGGGAGAATTACTAGTTACTAGTTTTATTTTAATTTAATGTAGGTACTGCCCCTAGTTTTTCCTGATTGGTTAATTTAAAGCTAGGGTGTGCTTACAGTTGCTACAGCCACACATACCTATATGTTTATCTTTGTGTGTCAGAGCATCGGATTCATTGATTGCAGTTGGGCTGTAAAGAGAATTTCAGAAAATATAATAAAAATATTGCTTAACCTAGCTATATTAATAGCTGAATTTCTGACTGATTTTTAATGAGCTTGTTTTGTCCCTTCAACAAACCAAAACCCCAAAACACTAAGAAACAGAAAATAAACAATTCTAGGTATTTAAAATGGCAATGAATGGTAAAATTAAAAAAAAAAAAATAGAATTGTTGTTTAATTAATTAATGATTATTGATATTGTTTGCCCAAAACAATAAAGGCATCATAATGAGCCTTCAAAACTGACCATATGTCACTTCTGTGTAACTGCAGAATGTAAACTCCTCTTAAGATGATTAGAATCTGCAAATGAGGACATGACCTCAGTCAATGGTAAGCACGTCCCTGGGTGTATGTGTTTATTACGGCTGAAGTTTGCCCCTTTGCCGCAGTGTTTACAACGGACAAAACATGGACTAATAGGCTTTGCCTGAATTGCTGGTGCATCCGTTGCAGACAGTACAAACTTGTATTGGAAAACAAAAGGAAATCTCAAAAATGACAACATGTCTAACAAAAATTGACCCACAGACACTGTAAATATGACTAACATGCATGTGTCATATCTAGAAGGATGCAATGACTGAATTAAGGCAAACGAGGTTGCCATTTAACCTTTGAATCTGCCCACTCCACTAACAATTCTATCTGACATCAGACAAATAATTTGACTCACTATCGTACAATCAGTATGCTAAACCTTTTTTACTGCTTGGTATGAAATAAAGAGTTAACATTTCATGACAGAAAAAAACACTTTATCCAGATTAAATTATATTGCAAAGACAGTACCCACTTAGAATCCTTCAATATTTCTAATAATATAAATCTTAATATTAAAAATGAGGTACACCGTCTCAAAAAGTCTTACACTCTCAGATTTGAGTACCTAAAATACATTCTATTGAGGCCTCCGTCATTAAAGTCATCCACACAGTATTTTCCAGTGTTGTGGGATCATTTTAGCTGATTTGTGATTTAGCACCTCTGTTCAGAGCAGACTTAACTTGAGGTGAGAACGGAATAATGTTTAACATTTAAGCTTCAAAAGATGTTAACATGTCTTTTTAGATGAATAGAAAAATTATTTCTCATTTTAATTACTGGAGACTAGAACCAGAACATTAAACTGGTGCCTTTAGAGGCATCGGTGGACAAATCTTATGGTGCGTGTTGAGAGAAGCTGCCTACTGGTGCATGACGGTTGGCGTTTCTAAAGCATCTGAAGTAACACTGTTTATTCCAGTGTTGACAAGCAACAACTTGAAAAGCCAATTATTAATGACACATTTGTACAGATGTTCTTCAGTTCCACAGAAGACAGTTGTTGGAGGGAAGTAACAACAACCATGGTATTGCACAAGAGAATCTTCTCTAACAAGAAAATCAAGTTTAAATATGAAACACAGAAGTTTATAATTGTTCCTGTTTAACTTGTAAATCTGCACTAGGTCGATGACTACCATGGAACTAAGATCTGCGATCCCTACACTTGGCTGGAAGACCCTGACAGTCCGGAAACAGTAGTATGTGTTGCTCTCTTGCAGAAAGCTGTAGTTGAGTCTTTATCAAAAACTCTCCAAACTTCATCCCCCCTCTCTCCTTTTTGTGTCTCAGGCCTTTGTTGAGGAGCAGAACAAACTGACCATGCCGTACCTGGAGCAGTGTGCTGTCCGGGCTCAGTTCCATGAGCGGCTCACTGAGCTCTATGACTATCCCAAATACAGCTGCCCTTACAAGAGAGGGAAGAGGTATCCATTAAAAATTAAATTATGGGCACTACACAGAGTGAAAAATGACCACACTTATGAGAGAGACTTACTTGAACTGCAGGTTTGAAGGGAAAAAAATTAAACCACGCTTATTGTCACATTATTTCCTGTTGTTATTTACAGGTATTTCTACTTTCACAACAAAGGTCTCCAGAATCAAGATGTGCTGTATGTGCAGGACTCTCTGGATGGAGCTGCCACCGTATTCTTTGACCCGAATGAGCTATCTGAAGATGGCACTGTGGCACTGAAGAGTGAGCCACATACACTGAAAATGTCACTATACACATCTACCTAGACAATTAGAAAAGATGTATTGTGCTGATCCCTCCTTTTCTTTGTTGCTCTCTCCACCCAGTGGGCCGTCTGTCTGAGGAGTGTGAATATTTTGCATATGGTTTGAGCAGCAGTGGTTCCGACTGGGTAACAGTGCGTTTCATGAAAGCTGATGACCTCACCCCGCTGCCTGATGTTCTGGAGAGGGTTAAATTCAGCTGCTTGGCCTGGACTCACGATGCCAAGGGCATCTTTTATAACTGCTACCCACGCCAGGAAGGCAAAACTGATGGTAAAGAGGACTCGCCATACACACAAAAGCATGCTCTATCACAGTTAACCACCTTTTAGCCAGATCCATTCCCCATGCAACAACTATTACAGATCTATTCAAGACTTCACCACTCTGTATTTCACTAAAGGCACAGAGACCACCTGCAACATCAATCAGAAGCTCTACTACCACGTCATCGGAACCAAACAGTCAGAAGATATTCTGGTTGCAGAGTTCCCCGAGCATCCTAAGTGGCACAGTTCAGTAACTGTAAGTCCATAGTAATCTTCAATCACTTATTGAATCACTTTACATCATTATTAACACCCAGCAGCAATCAGGTTATTTAAAATATTAATTTGAGTTCTTGAAAAAGTTCTGTTACAGAATTGCATATCAACAAAAAATTGTTATAAAACATTTCATAGTAAAGACAACATTCATTGTCATTCCTTTTTCTCTCCAGATATCAGATGATGGTAGATATGCTGTTTTGTCCATCACTGAAGGCTGTGAGCCTGTCAACCAGCTGTGGTACTGTGACCTCCAGCAGCTCCCCGACGGTATCACAGGTCTGTCTCCTTGTGACAAACTCTCCACTGAGCACTCCATAAACACAACAATTCACATATTTTCTTGAGATGTAGGGTCACCGGTATAGAATCCTTAGGTCTGCTTTGGCACATTTGCACTTATGAGGGAATATAAGTCAAAAAGGTTTTCAACGTCAAACGTTGAACACCAAAATCATCAAAATTGGTGGTTGGGGTTAGATAAACTCAATTAACCATTTAGTTTTTGAAATATCAAAGAAATACAGCTAATCCTCTAAAAGAATAGTTCTTGGAACAATGCTGGCAACAAAAGTGAATACACCCCAAAGTGAAAATGTCCAAATTGGACCCAAAGTGTCAATGTTTTATGTGGCCACCATTATTTTCCAGCACTGCCTTAACCCTCTTGGGCATGGAGTCCACCAGAGCTTCACAGGTTGACATGACGACATCACTGAGCTGTTGGATGTTAGTGTGCTTCTCCACCTTCTGTTTGAGGATGACCCACAGATGCTCAATAGGGTTATGCTCTGGAGACATGCTTGGCCAGTCGATCACCTTTACCCTCAGCTTCTTTAACAAGGCAGTGGTCTTGGAGGTGTTTGGGGTCGTTATCATGTTGGAATACTGCCCTGGGGCCCAGTCTCCGAAGGGAGGGGATCGTGCTCTGCTTCAGTATGTCACAGTACATGTTGGCATTCATGGTTCCCTCAATGAACTGTGGCTCCCCAGTGCCGGCAGCACTCATGTAGCCCCAGGCTATGACACTCCCACCACCATGCTTGAATGTAGGCAAGACACACTTGTCTTTGTACTCCTCACCTGGCTGGTCTCATCAGACCACATGACTTGGTTCTAGTAATCCGTGTCCTTAGTCTGCTTGTCTTCAGCAAACTGTTGGCAGGCTTTTTTGTGCATCATCTTTTAGAAGAGGCTTCCTTCTGGGACAACAGCCATGCAGAACTTTATACATACTCGTACACTCGTACTTGTACACTCACTACTTTACATTATAGCAAAGTGTCATTTCTTCTTCTTCAAAATGTGAGGGGTGTACTCATGTTTGTGAGATACTCTGTTCTTTCAGCACCCCCAACAGTGACTGATGAATTTTTATGATTACGGACAAGCATTAACAAATAAGAAAAATCATCCTTAACCCTTCCACCGGGAATCCACTGGCTACGGCACATTGAGGGATCCATGTAGGCCCAGAAATGACAAAACCCTGTGCCGTTCTTCTACGTCATTAAACCGCGGTTATACTGCGCGAACATGAGAAGTAGACGCTGGTGCCAACAGGACTGTAGTAGTATTTTATTGGTCCAAAACTGGCTTCACTGCTCTCCATTCAAATCAGCGGGGTGGCTTCGTCCAGTAATATACTGTCTATGATTTCCCACAAAGAGCATTTCAAAATCAGAGCATTTTGCCTGCCTGATTTTGCTGACATGTTTAGATTTTGTTGATTTTGGAATCAGTTTTTGCATTTTGTGCTTCTACTATGATTAAGTAGGCTACGTAGTTAAATTTCTTTTTGTGTCTGTTTTAACCTTGTTGTTGTTTTACAATCTCCGCAGGGTGTCTTATTTTGAAAGTTGGCTGGATTCTCTATGCCGTTTTGTGTCTTACTTCCTGCCTGGTTCGATCTGCTCTGTGCTGCTTGACGCAGGTCACAAATAAATTCTCTGCGGAGAGCCGCTTCTGGGACATGCTGCAGCCGCGTCTGGTGGACTCAAAAGCATTGACTATAATGGCCGCGATTAGCTCCGGCAACTGCGGCGCTGCCGTAACGCGCTGGAGTCAGTGGATTTTAGGGGTTAGGATAAATTCATAATGTCTCTGGACAATCTTTTTGTTTGATGGGCTTGCTACCCTGGAATTTAGCCTTTGTGCCCTTAATAAATTGACAACACCAAAGGCTATGTGGCCATGCCCCTAAAATGATTAAATTCCAGGCAGTGTCATCTCCCAAATCAAACATGGAATCATAGAAAACCAAGCGAGCTTTTCTAGAGTGCAGACTTTCAAGCAGCAATTGATAATATCAGCTATAAAAAAAGAAAATCCCCCCCCAACACACACAGAGTTTTGACATGTTTTAGTGCAAGCCTATTGTAGAAATGTGGTATTGGTCTTTATAAGCTACCATAATTCAGGTGGACAGGATGTGTGTATTTTTCTTTTTTAGAAATTTAATTAACTGCAACTCCCAATGGTCAGTGATGGAGATGGAAATCATGTGATGCGTCTTTTCTGATTGAGATAAAAATAATAATTAATTTTATTAATCTTCTCCTCTAGGCCTGCTGCCATGGGTCAAACTTGTGGACAACTTTGATGCCCAGTACTCGTATGTCACCAATGAGGAAACTGTGTTCACTTTCCGCTCAAACTTGGATGCTCCTCGGTACTGTCTCATCAACATAGACATCCAGAAACCAGACAGGCAGCACTGGACTACCCTCATCCGACAGCACGACAAGGATGTCCTGGGTGAGAGTGAATGGAAATTTCAATGTACTTCACTAATATAGTATCAGTTCTCTACAGAAGAAATGTAATGCATCTGAAAGTTCAAATAGCAGTTGTGCTGGTGTAAAACAGACCTTGGTTGGCATGACAGCTGTGAACGTTTCAAAAGTCCACCAGGCTTTTAGAAAGACGTAAAGGGCTTATACGTGGAAACATACTTCCACAATTCAATCTTGCAAAATACTTTTTCGCTGAATATCTGTCTTAATGTTTCGGTGGTGGTCCAACCACAACAACTGGGAAGTTCTGTGTCTGTGGTCAAAGACCTTCGTCAAAGGGAACTCTGCTCAAAAAGTGAAACTTGGCCCATAAGCACTTAACTTTTTGGAGGGTTATGAGTCATTTGAATGATGGTAACTATACGTCGAGTTGACTGAAACATACAGCAGTGAATGTCCATTTCCACTGAGACGTGTAAAACACACACAAATATTGAAAAAGAGGAAAGGAAAAACACTTGAAGGATAAGGTGACGCTTTATTTTAATTCCCCTTATTTGGAATTTATAAGCGGCATATATGCATTTAATGTTTTTTTTTACTTGTAGCTGCATACAACTACTTCATAGTGTTATAAACCATTTATTAAATGTTTGTGTTCTGCTTAAAAATGCCAAATTGAGACCTTGAAGTAAAGTTTCTGAATAATTGTGATATCAGTGATACTGCTTGATTAGTGCAAGTTAATGATTTGTTTCTCAAATTCAATTTTGTGTGGCAAGTTTTTAAATGAATCTGAAGTCATGTCATTCCATTGCTTTTAAAGACATGTCTTGTTATATTTGTCTTCCCAGGGTCATTAGATGGCTCTTTGTTTTCAAGATACATGAGGAAGTTGACATTGGTTGTAACGTAGAAAGGATGACAGACAACAAGCATACCGTATCCCTTGGATACAGTATTTTTTTATAAAACCATACACAAGTTGCCATGTTTACTTTCTTTCAATTTCTTCTTGTATCCCTTTACAGGCTTTGTATCTTGTGTGAACCAGCACCACCTGCTGGTAAACTACCTCCATGACGTGAAGGATATCCTGCAAGTGTATGAGTTGTCTACAGGCCAGCTGGTGAGGGACCTTCCCCTGGATGTTGGCACAGTGTCCGGAGTGAGCTGCAAGAAGAAACACTCTGACGTTTTCTACAAGTTCTCCTCCTTCACTACACCTGGTAATTCCTTAATTTTGAAAATTCTATTTTAGTTGTCTCATATTAGTAAAATTAACGCTGTAAAATCCAAACATAAAATACTATAATATATAATTGAATTAATCCCATGTGAATTTATACAAAAACTCTTTAAAGTAGATTCAAATAATTAGGGTTGCAACTAAAAATTGTTGCAAGTGCTGTATTGCTACTGTAATGTAAAGGTATACTACTTTTGAATAATACATGACATTTCAGGAAAAGATACATTAAATGCTAGTTGAAAAGTAAATGCTACATAAAATATATATTTTTTTATAATTACTGGAAATGGAAGCCTTGTAATTTAAGATTAAATTTTATTCTGTGCTGCCCAGGTATCATTTACCACTGTGATTTGAGCAAGTTGAACCCAGAGCCCAGAGTGTTCAGGGAGGTGGAGGTAAAAGGCATCAAGCAAGAGGACTATCAGACCAGCCAGGTAATGTCCTCCTGTTTTATCTCCTTTACTTATCTTCTCTTTCTGTAGGTCATAGGTCTCCATTCTCAAACTTCCTTTTTGGACTATAACTTTATTTCCCCTTATCATCCAGTTAATTCTTGTTTCTGTGTTATCACATGTATTAGTTGCATATTCATATATCATGATGCAGAATGATTTCCCAGAATCTTATTCACTATGGTAGAGGAAGTAATAAGTTCTGTGTTTGTGAACAGTCATTTTAGACATAATATAACATATTTTGTAAAAGACAAGCTGATTTCAAATATCTTCTCTCATACATTTGCAGGTATTTTATCCCAGTAAAGATGGAACCAAAATCCCCATGTTCCTAGTTCATGCCAAAGGCCTAAAGAAGGATGGGACTCATCCTGTCTTCCTTTATGGCTATGGAGGTTTTGAGTCTTCCATACAACCATACTACAAGTAAGTACAGTTGCTGTGCTCAAAATCTCAAACCAATGGGACCACTCTTTTCTTTGTGATTTGCTAAGCAGACATCGATGATGACACTGATCAGTGTGGAGAGTAAAATAATTGATATACCAACTTTCTATAAAACATTAAAGAGCTGCCCTGTTTGTTCTGCAAGATCATCCTATTCTGTTAAACTGATTATCTTTGCTGGCGTGCCATTATTTTAGTGTGTATGTCTTTTAAGGTATGCAGTAACTTCATTTTAATATGGTATATCTAGACGTTACGTCATTGTGCAAATGCACTATAGATATACTGTATATAAATGAGTGCACTAGCAGGATGAGCAGGAACAGCTAAATGTAGCAGCTTACTTTAAAAAAGTATTTTATTTACCATTTTTATATGCCGTATAACCATGATGCTGCTGAAATAAAATGCAGAAAAATTAACATCTGATGATTGACATCTGATGGAAATATGACTCTGTCTCTAAAAGTGGATGATTGAACTTTTTCCCATGGCCTAGTGTTAATAAAGCAAACAAATCATATGTTTAGATACTTCAGAATCGCAATACATGTTTGAAATTGAATTGGCACCCAAATATTGTGATAGTATTGAATCGGGAGATAAGCATTTCATCCATGCCCTAATAGCACATGAGACTGAGTAATCTATTCAAAGGTTTAACTGTATCAAATGTATCACTTCTAATAACACTATTTATGCTATGTTGTTACCATTTAGATCGTAAAACATCAGGCAGCTATTAGGTTTTTCCCTTGATGATGTACTTTAGATGACATTATTTCCCCCTCTCTGTTCTGTTTGCGGTCAGTGTTGCTTACTTACTGTACGTGAGACACCTGGGAGGGATCCTGGCAGTCGCCAACATCAGAGGGGGTGGAGAGTACGGCCTCACCTGGCACAAAGGTACAAACATCCAAGGAATGTAGGAAGAAAACATTAAACAGAGGTTTGCTATTTTGTAATTCTGTGTTCACACAACTTCTGCTGTGTCGTGTTTGTAGCTGGTACATTAGGGAACAAGCAGAATTGCTTTGATGACTTCCAGTGTGCAGCAGAGCATCTGATCCAAGAAAAGTACACCACAGCCAGCCGTATCGCTATCAACGGGGCCTCTAATGGAGGGCTGCTAGTAGGTAAGAACAGGGAATGTTGACACACACATCACCTTTTAAGAAATATTAGTCCTGGGATTTGAAAATTGCAGTGTTGTGTTAAGGAGATAAAAATTGTGAAGGTAGGGGATTCCTGCTCTTAATGTTTTATAGCTCAAATCTGGTCATGGCGCTTTACCTCTACACCCTCCCCATTTTTTACAGCTCGGCTCCAACTTCCTATGCAAATTAACAGGGGGAGACAGGGGGAGGGAGAGGGAGGGGATTTTTTTCTTTTTTTTTAAATCACGAAAGGCTCTCCCATAAAAGTGTGTTTTAAGAAGGGCTTTAAAGGAGACCACTTACTCAGCCGACCTGATTTCTTTGGACAGATCGTTCCAGAGCCTAGGGGCCCTGACTGCAAATGCTGTCCGCTTTTGTTTTCAGCCAGGCCTCTGGAACAGACAAAAGACAGAGGATCTTAAAATATATACTGGTGCATAAGGTACTAAGAGGTCAGGGATATAGCGAGAGAGAGAGGACATGAGGAGCCTAAAAAGTAATCAGTAAAATCTTTTCTAAAACATACTGGAAACCAGGGTGAAGAGGCTAAAACAGGAGTGATGACGTTGCTGTGTTCTGGCTAAAAGCCTTGGCAGCTGAGTTCGGTACAGTCTGGGGTCGAATAGATTTTTGGTTCACACAAGTAAAAAGGCTGTTATCCAGACGTGATGATTGATCACAGTGCTTTGTATTTATATTACATCTTTGGCATAATTGCTAATGTTCATCTAACAGTAGTTAGCGGCTTAGCTTCAATTAATTTAGCTATTAAACAGCACATTAAACAGTGCTTAGTCACCTAGTTTACCAAAGGCTGGCACAAACCCAACAAATGCCTTCTTCCCTGGCGTGTGAGCGGCCATTTAGGAGTGATTGTGTCTTACAGTGTGTAGTAAAGGGGATGCATGTGCATTTGAGTGTGTGTATTTGTAAGCAAATGGAATCCGTAACCTAAATCTTAAATACACACACACAGCGGCATGCGTGAACCAGCGTCCAGACCTGTTTGGCTGTGCTGTGGCAGAGGTCGGGGTGATGGATATGTTGAAGTTCCACAAATTCACCATCGGCCACGCGTGGACCACCGACTACGGCTGTTCTGACGAACCGGAGCAGTTCAAGTGGCTCATCAAGTACGAAAAACATAGACACAACAAATCACTAATATATATTTTCACACATCTGCTTACATCCTCATGTCTCGCTGCTGTCATGCCTGATCAGAATAAGTTGAACACCCCGTATAAGTTAGTGGTAATTTCCAAGTGTGTGATGTTTAGTGATTCTGATCATTTTTCTACAGTTCCCTTCCTGTGTTTGGCACTAAGATTAGTTTAAACAACTAGAAAAGCCAGTATGAAGTGTACGACTGGTAAAAAAATATAGGTAAAGAAGAAAACAGCAAGTGTATAATGCAGTTCATCCAGATTTCCAGGAATTTGTTCTCCTGCTGGATTTGGGGGACTTTGCTATATTCATATTCATAATTTCTTTGTATCTACTTCAGTATCTTCTATTATCTGAATCTCAAGACAAACTAACTCACTCTGCGCATGTCAGTGTTGATAGTCATCACATCATGGGTGTTTGGTCTTTGTTGGTTTCAATAATCTCTAAAGGTCTGTTCACAGCCTTACACTCACCCACATAAACCAAAAATTCACAGCAGAGCAACTGAATTGCATTAAAGATCATGAATCACTTCTATATTCTGTCTGATTTCCTCTAGGGCTGCACGATTAATCTAATCGCAATGTCGTCACGTGCGATTACATAACCGCAAAAAGTGCGCAATTTAATAAAAGAAAACGTGTGTGTGACACACTCTTCTCTGTGTAGGCTGCAGTCTGCTCGTTATCCACGCCCACACTGGGCTCTCGCATGTGCTCCTCAAAACAGACAGGCCTATGTGCAATCAGAAAAATGATTTATGAGCAGTGTCCGAGTAACGTTTAAGACAACAACCTGCCGTAACCCCCCCGGCGCGCCATTAATCGTTCTGTATCGGTGAACTTTATCGTTCAACATGTTAAACTTTTCATAAAGCCGACGTGCTTATCAGTCACTGTTTGTCAACCAACCAATCACAGCTTGGATGGGGCGGCACATTAAAAAAAAAAAAGTTTAATGTGATACAGTCAACTTTACAATGTTGAACAATAGGATTATTGACAAGTTGTACTTGTGAGTCTCTTTTGCACAAGAACTAAATAAATAAAAACAACCCACAGAAATGAAACTGCTGTAACTGGATTTAATATTCAAATAATGGTAAAGTATACTATTATATGAAATTATAATGAATATAGTAATATTCTTATTATTATGCTAACAGTATACTATCTGACCACTGTACTCTTTATTTATTAATGTCATGATATTATACTAATACACTTATGTATACTAATTCCTCCTCCAGGTTGTGGATAGAGCCTCTGCAGTGGACTAATGTAGATTTAGCCAGAGCCAGTGTGCCAACATGTGCTTGTTCTAGCTACCTCCTCCGTAGAGTAACGCGCGCCCCTTATTCTGTTTTACATCCGTTTTACTACTTATTGTTATAAATATTTTTTATCATTTAACTCTGTTCAAGTTGAGAAATACACATTTCAAAATGTCAGTATTTTGTGCATTTTCCTTGATAATCAAGCTAGTAGACTCATAGTACCATTTGTTCAATTATAATCGAATCGCAATATGACTTTCTCCAAATCGTGCATCCTTAATTTCCTCTTGAATTTTCTCACATTATGCTTCCAACCGGTCTTTATCACCTTCTGTCTAGGTATTCTCCTCTCCACAATCTGCCTCAACCTCCTTACTCTGGCCCTCCCTACCCTGCCGTACTGCTTCTGACAGCAGATCACGATGATCGCGTGGTGCCTCTCCACACCCTGAAGTACTGTGCTGCCTTGCAGCACGGAGTTGGCAGCAGCCCTGTGCAGCGTCAGCCTCTGATGGTCAGGGTGGACACCCGTAGTGGGCACGGTGCAGGGAAACCCACCGCCAAGGCCATCTTGGAGGACACGCACATCTTTTCCTTCGTCGCTGAGACACTTGGGCTCAGCTGGAAGGATTGAGGAGATAATGATGGGAGTTTAAGCATATACACAATGATCAAGGCTTTTTAAGGGATGAATGACTTCTTATTTTTATTTTTAAGAAAACACAATTTATTGAAAGAATATAGTGGTCCAGCTAAAGTGACGATGTAAAAAAAAAAAAAAAAAAAAAAAAAAAAGGGCAGCTAAAGGAATATTGTTAGAAAAATAATAACCAAGAACTACAATGTGCTACAAATCTGAGATACTCATTATAATGGCTCTTTTCAAATGCACAATTCAGAATGCATACTGTAAGTGTGGAATTTGAACTTTAGGCTAAAGCATCTTCAATAAAATCTCTTTCTACTATGATTTCTGTCTATTGCATTATAACACATAGTGTCCCAAATCTTAATATTGTCTTCTAAAGTTAATCCAATTAGAACTGAATTGTTCAGCACCACTAGTGGAAGAAGTACTTCGAAAGTATTTGAGTGAATGTAGCAAAACATCAGTGTAAAATAATGTGCATCTAAATGTAATTTACAATATCAAAAGCAAGGGTGCCCCAGTGACCTTGAGTTTTAGGGTGCTGTCCCTGTACCACAACATCCCCTGTTTGATTCCGGCCGGCAACTTTAGTCCAAAACATTTTTTATATATTACTAGTACAAGCATCAAAAGTACTAACAACTAATCTAGATATCAGTTATATTACTGTATATATTAAAGCAATGTTATTACTGATGTATTTTCATATAGGCAGTATTTAAATATTCCAGCTGGTTGAGGTTGAGCAAATTTTAACTACTTTCTATGCAGCCTGCGAGAGTTGGATAAGCTCAAGACCACTCTGACTTATGTAAGGCAAATATGAATCTACAGGAAGTGATTATTTTAGCTTGGCTCAACAAACTCTGCCTCCCAGCACCTCTTAAAACTCAGTAACTCAAACATATCTTGTTGATTACTCACACTTGATTACTTACTTACAAAAAAATAGAATTAACTGTAAAAAGGTTTTTATGGGCCATGAAATTGTTTCACCATAAAAAACCTTGTAAAACCACAATTTGTTGAACTGTAACTATAGCTGTCGAATCGAGTAAAAAATAATACTTCCCTATCAGTAGCATATAATAAGGTCCAAGTAAAGTACCTCAAATGTGTACTTTCAGAAAAGTAGATTGCTTGAGTAAATCTACCGAGTTGCTTTGTACCACTGTCAAGAACACAACAGTAGTCACGACACAGTGCAGTTTTCATATACTCCACCAAGTGGCAGTATAGGACTGCAAACCTCTCCCCCTGCAAGATCAACCCTCTAACACCACAAGGTCGAAGGCTGGGTGTCACTTTAGAGTCATTCTGCTCAGCTGCTTCATTAAGGGGGATTGGGGAATAAAAAAACATCAGGGTGCATCCTGCTAAATCCTTTATATTGTATATGTGCGGGTATATCTGCCTAGTAGGGGGCAAAGCAAGTCATTGGCAGAGACAAGTAGGATACATCTGTATAAAACAGCAGAAGTAGAACACACAAGAATGAGGACTTGTATAACGTATGAGCGGTTGTGAAGGAAGATACAAGAGAAGGGAAACTGAGGAGAGAAATATGTGTGGAGATCTTTAAAGTACGGGCAGGGAAGTCGAGAGATGGAGAATGATGATAGACGGCAGATACATGGCGAGACAGCGAGAGGCAACATGCAGGCAAGCGGAGAGACTGAAAGTGCACTTATGGAGAGTCTCAGGAGGCGCCGAGACAGACGGGTGTTTAAACTGTCAAAAAGAGAGATGGAAACTCTCCTCCAGCCTCCAGTCTGCCAGCCAGCCACAGAGAGTGAGAGAAGTTGTTCTGTCGGTCACTCAGAGTTTAATCTCTGCTCAGTGGGAAGTTCTGATTTCGTCAGACTGAACCCCAGGCCTTATCTAAGTACCCTCTCAGTGGATAGATAGGATGGGAAAAAGAAGAGGGAAAAGCAGAGTAGGCTGCAGGAGGAGGATTTGCAGACAATGACACACTGCCACAGGGGCAATGTGGTTGAATGAAGCCGGGAAAGACAAAGCCAGTAATAAGCTGGACATGAGAGACGGCGAGAGTGAGAGGGGTTTAAGATCATGCAGCAAAAGGGCTGTGATGCTCTTCTCCCAGGAGTGTCCCAGAGGATTGGGTAGGCTTTTGCTGCTCCATTTCCTTCATTCACCCCCATCACGTCTTGAGCTCACTCTTCCTTCTCTCCGTACACACACGTTCACATGTGTACAAGCACACACAGCCTTCTTGTATCTTTTTCTCTAGAGAAACGCAAGCTTTTACCTACAAAATCCTCCCCATCTCACACACTCTCAGGTCCCCATCCTGTCCTCCGTTTGTTTACTTTACTCTCTCCATAATGCAGGGATTAATTTCTCAAAGCCGATTTGAGCTGCGGCATGCTTCGGCAAAGAGCGGAGAGCAGAACTTTTGTGCTGGGGGAAGTTTCCCCTTCACACTAGCTTAGAGGTAGACTGCGCTCCCCTTTATGCCGCTTGCTTTAATCTTCACACGGAGCAGAGGGAGCGAGGGATAGAGGGAGGACAAGAAGGGGAGAGGGCTCTCGGCGCACAGCTGGGAATCACTAATGTCTTTACAGAGGTGTCGTCTGCTTTCCCTGCTGCCTCTTTGAATCCTTTTGCCCCTTCTGCTACCTCTCTGGCATTTCTTCCACCTTATATTTCTTGACTCTTTTTCTTTTCCAACTGCAAAGGTTTCTTTCATTATAAGCGTCCATGTTTTATTATAAAGGCTGTATCTTATATAGTAGATCAGAATGTCTGGTTTGGGTGGAAAGCTGTGTAATACCCAGAGGTGAGTGGAAAGGGCTATTATTTTCATTATTAATTCATCGAACAATTTTTTTTTTTCCCAAAAAAATGATTTGTTTAGTTTGCAAAATGTTACAGAAAAAAAAAATGCTCATAGGTTCCTACAACCAAAGGTTTTGTTCAACCAACTGTCCAAAAGTAAAATGTATTTACTTAATGATATTGCTTGGGTTTTATAAGCTGGAACCTGCAAATTAATTAATAATAAATTAATCAATAAATCGATCTGTCATTTTTTCAATTTGATGAAAAGGAAAAATAATTTCCTAGAGCTCTAGGTGACCTCTTCAAATGTCTCCTTTTGTCTGAGCAACAGTCCGAAAAGAAAGATTTAATTTAAAATCAGAAAGAAAATCTACTTCTTGATGAATTACTTACAGCTACAGGAGCTGCACCATATGTAGTATATTCTAAGTTCTTTTAAACATGTCTTGAGTGTAGTCTTGATTTTGAGAAAACGATGGATTTCAGGTACAAAAATCTATATTTTTCACTTTGAAACATGATTTGCTTTAATCTCCTGGAAGAATCCCTGCCCGTCCCCCTGTCCCAGTCTCATTTACAGTGAATAAACAGGCAGATCTGATTGAAGATTTGTGCTCAAACCGTGAGAAGCCTGATAAAATACCTACCAAACACAAAAGCCCCTCGCCACTGCGAGTTACTGTGGATATGATGTTTGCATTTATTATATTGTACCACAAGGGAATAGGAGGCAGATAGCAGTTGATTAGGCACACTATTCGGCTCATTTAGCACGTGTGCAGCTGCTAAGGTGGCTCATGACCCAGAGCAGGCAGGAGTCAAGTGTCAAGGCTATTAGGATTTCATAATTTCTATTATGTAGATTAGAGCTGGTAAAATATTTTTACGGCTATATTTTTTTAATTTATTTTTATATTTTATGTCCCAAATACAGAAGGATGCAAAGAATGGCTGGTTAGGTAGTAAAAATAAAGGTTTTGTTTGTCCTAAATTAATGCAGTTACACTAGGGAGGTTCAGTCTCTTGGACAGAATCTTGATGAGCCTGACGTGTGAATCGGCTTTTTAGTGTTTTCCTCATCACATTGAATCGTGAATGCAAGCAAGAAATCTACGAGAAGCCTCCGATAATGAATTCTCTACATCCAGTGTTGCTGCAGCGGGAGTTCAAATGCTGGGGTCTGCTAAGCAGCATCTGAAGGAGGTGATGTTTGATTGCGTGGGAGGTTTAGAAAGCTGCAGCCGGCAATGGCTCAGAGATGAAACTCATTAAGTCTCAAACTCCAATCCTCAATTCTAATAAGACAGTAATATAAAAAGTATGGATTGCTGCAGCAACTGTACCAGACAAATAAAAAGATCTCATTCTCAAATGTATGCCCATGGACGGTCAACACGCATACAGTATCTTCACACACAAAAATGCACATAAACACAATATTATGCACACACACTGACCCATGTGGGCAGGCACAGACGCACGTACCAGCACACACACTTCAACCCGCCCACACAGTTGCCCACAGCGATCCCACACAAAGTTAATTTGCATTTACAATAATTTACCATACACTCAGTGCAGCTCTAAAGGTGGCTGTAATAAAGCAGTAAGTAATATAACCTCAGTGCCGGAGAGAGAGACTTAATAAGAGTGTAAGAGAAAACCATGAACCACAGAAGTAGGCAGGAGAGGTAACCGTAAGTTGGATTCGCTTGTAAGTGGATACATGACATAACCACTTAGATAAGTATGAGAGGGCCAGGCAGCCTTAAGGTTAGAGGAACAAGTGAGCTCTAAAGGCCGTTGGTTCATTTCTTTGCACTAGAAGTGAAGTTAAAGGGTAGACAGATAATTGGGAGTTTATAATTTAGACCCCATTAACTGTTCAACTGCTCAATGCAGCTACCCTGTTGCTTCGGTAAGACACACACAGAAACCCAAGTTCTACTGTGAAGTTTTTTTTTTAGAGGGTCAATTCACCCAAATGATAAACAAAAACATTGTCCTACTTACCTGTAGATTTTGGTTTTATTTGGCCATGTTTTGCGATATTTAAAATTTCTGCCAACACTCACAGCACTAAACTTAGATTCAAAAAATTGAGCAGAACTGGCTCTCCAGAAACAGTGTCCCAATTACTCTAAACAATCCACAGACCTCACTGAACTGTTCTTTATTGGTACTACTTTCTACCAAAGAAATAGTTCCTATGTAAGCTGTTCATTGTGAACTCAGTAGATCTAAGGAACTGTTTTTGGAAAGAGACTTTGCTGTTGAATTTCAAAAAGAAAATGTAAATTTCAAATTTTCAATTTCAATTCTTTTAGCACCACCATCACAAATTAAT